CTGGATATCGTCAAACATATGCTTATGTGTATGTGATTTTGGAAATGACCATGATTTAGCTGGGTTAAATGGCATATATTCCTATATATATAAAGGTAAATTGTTAAAGGCAATGTAAACCAATTATTGTACATACATGAAGTGCTTTCTCAAAAACCAACAGTTCCTCTTGACCTTTTTGAATAGTTGTCTCTGTATGAACCTTGAGAGATGCATACATATCAAGTTCAACATAGCTTCGCAGAAGCTTGAGTAGCTGATATCCTCGAGGAGATGCTTCCTTTGTAAAAATATTGTGGAGTGCAAAGATAAGAACCTAACCCAGGTCATGAAACTTGAATTTTGAGAGGAAATTCAAAAAGCTGACTTACTTTCGACATATCCTCATACTTGCTTCCATCAGCAAATTCACCTGTCTTTATAATGGAGGTAAAGTGGTTTAAACCACTCCAAGTAGGGAGAGCATCAACCCTGTAAATAAAGATAAATATATTCTATCTCAACAAAGAGATCAAATCCATACTGGGTATCAATCAACTTCGAGACACCCTTTCCAAGTTCCTCAGCTACACTTTTAACCTCTTCCCAGATATGATCTGAGAATAAACCTCCATGATATGCATGAATGCGATCCCAAGAAATTGCTCGGTGAATATCAGTGCGAGGAAATTTCCAAAAAACATTCTTTGGAAGTAAGTCATCAGTGAAATATATGAATCAACCCATTTGAATGTTACCTCAACATCCCGAAGACCAACATTCTTCAAGGTTTCTTCTGTCTCAGAGGCATTAAGTCCTATTGTGGACTTGTAAATCTTTTCCATGTCAGAGGAAAAACAAAGGGGAAAGTCTGATGAAAGGTTGGCAAGCTGATCCCCAGGAATGAGGCAGACTGGGCAGGGAAATTTTCTGTTGACCCCACAAATGAGGGCAATAACACATCTGCACAGAAAATTGTGAAGTTCAATGTAAATTGCAGATGTCAATCCTTACTGCTCCTCATAGTCTGCAGATGCAATAAGCACAATGGGAAACATCCACCGTTCAATATCAGCAGTTGTTAGGTGGTAGCCAGTTTCTGCATATTGCTCAACAGACTTCAAGATTTCATAGAATGCCTTATGCCAGACAACTCTTTTGAAATTCACATATTTCTTTT